AAGGTAAAAAAAAAAAAAGGGGGGCGGGGATATGGTATGAACCTGGGCTGGCTTCTGACGCCTTCCCTCTTGGCTGCAGAGGCCGCCCAGGACTCGGCTTTGGCCCCTAGGGCTTTCGGCTCCCACGCTGCTCTTCTTGATCCTGTGGCCCTTCGTTGTCCAGTGGCTCTTCCGACAGTTTCGGACCCAGAAGAGGTGACTAGAGGAAAGGGTCTCTCTAGCAACGCGTCCTGCTGTGCCCTGAGCCTCCCTAGGTTTAGGGAAACAGCATTAGCAATGCCCCTCCTATCCTCCTTCACCCTGGCACTCCCTCCTTTAGTGGGGGCCCCATAAGACCCTCCTTCCCCTGCAGCTCGGCCGACGCCCCGGGTCCCCAGGCTGTCGGGTTGGCTGCTGTCATGGTGCACATCCTAGCCTTGGGGCTGGCGGTGAGCACCCTCCGAGCCCCCCCCCCCCCCCGGGTCACCTGACTTTGCTCCCGCCGAGTCGGCTCCCTGCCGAGGCTCCGCTCTTGGGCAAGTTGGGACTTGGACCTGGCCTGAAGACTGATTGGCTGGAAGGTTACAGGAAAGACTGGAGCCCGGAGGACCGGGGAGGAATGGGAGGAGTGTGCAGGCTGGGGGCTGGGACGCCCCGCACACACGCACAAGTACACGTCGCGCTCAGGACTTCACTGAAGATTCACGTGCAATTGAACGCTTCATTAAACAAAAGGAAACCTCAGTCTGCCGTCTGGGCGCCCACGAAAAGAGCGGGAAATGGGCGGGTCGCGCGGGACACAAGTCCGGTCCCACTCCCTCCCCAAGTGCCCTGCAGAAGCTAGGGCTTCCTTATAAGGAATATCTTCCCTCCTCCCTGGAGGAACCAGGAGAAAACAGGCCTCACAGTGGGGGCAGAGAGCACGGGGGTGGGGTGGGGGTGGGGGGGAAGGGGACAGCTTGGAGGCCTGGAGTTCTTACCCGGGAGCTGGGCGTTGGTTGGCCCCGCCCCAGAGGGAGGGCCGCTGGCCCGGGAGCACTCTGCACTAAGGATTGGGGTACCCAGCGGTGGGCTCCAAATAGTGCTGCATCTTACCCAGCCCTTAAGTCTTGGTTGGTACTCCCTATCATCACATCTGTTATTCTCAGAGAACTTTCTAGAAGGCCCAGGCCCACCCACTGTAAGCCTCTGTCCTGAGGGGTTGGGGCAGGTCCTCTGTTGCCTGTGCCCCCCCCCGCCCCCCCCCCCCAAGTGTGGTGGACCTAGTGCCTGCACCGACCTCTTGAGCTGCTTGGCCTTGGAACTTTTGCTCACTGCCTAGGTGGCCCGTGTCCACGCTGATGTGCGTGTCTGGGTCCAGCCACTAGCCGGTATTCAGCTTTAAACTAACCACTCCAGTACCTCCTGTACTCAGTGCCCACGGGGCTGGCTATTGGCAGCTGCTACCAACTGGGCCCTGGGCTCTCCCTTGCTCTTTGGGAAAGGAGATGGTACTGGAGATGCCTAGACCTGTTCCTCTAAGTTCCCTAACACTGTGGATCCGACCACTTCCCCAGGCTCAGGCTCGGCTGTCCTTAGGCCCCAGGGAAAATACAGTCCCTGTTTGGGGCTTTAGCAGCAGGGAGGGGAGCCCTGAGGACAGACACCACTCACTGCGTCACAGGCTCTGCAGGGCCGTCCAGGGTCACAGGCGAAAAGGTTGAAAAAAACCTGGGATCCAGGCAGACATGGGCTGGGCAGTGGGAGCCGATCAAATTGGGACCAGGACGCAGGACAAGCGCCTCACAGGTCATATGCTGGCTCTGCAAACTTGGACTGAAAGATGAGCCGTTCTGGGTCTGGATCCACTTGTGTCTTTTCATCATAAGGCAGTTGAGAGGTCTGACAATGACCGAGAGTGGAAAATGCCCGTCACAGGGCTAGTGGTCCTGGAGTTCTACAGCCCGGTGATCATGTCTCACACTCTAGAGGAGACCCCACTGCGTAGCCCTGCCTAGTAAACTTAGTCTAGGTTCAACCTTAACTTTTTAGACAGGGTTTCTCTGCGTAGTTTTGGTGCCTGCCCTGGATCTTGCTCTGTAAGACCAGGCTGGCCTTGAACACATAGATATCCGCCTGGCTCTGTCTCTCAAGTCCTGGGATTAAAGGCGTGCACCACCACCACCACCACCACCACCACCACCACCACCACCACCACCCAGCTCCACTTAAAAAGACGTTAAAGCTACATTTTATACATGTGTTTTGTTGCCCGTGTGTCCCTGTACCGCGTGGGCCTGGCACTGTGGAGGTCAGCAGAGAACACCAGATCCCCCGGAACTGGACTTAGAGTTGTGAACTGCCACATGGTGTTAGGAACTGAGCCTGGGTCCTCTGCAAGAACAAGTGCTCTGCTCTTAACTACTGAGCCATCTTCTGCCACATCCCATTTCCCTTTTTTTTTTTTTTTTTTTAAATTTATTTATTTATTATGTATACAGTGCTCTATCTGCAGACCAGAAGAGGGTAACCGATTTCATTACAGGTAGTTTTAAGCCACCATGTGGTTGCTGGAAATTGAACTCAGGACCTCTGGAAGAACAAGCAGTGCTCTTAACCGCTGAGCCATCTCTCCAGCCCCCCATTTCCCTTTTTCTTCTCTGTTCTTTGTCCCTGGTGCCTCCTAAGTAATGGATGAAGACAGAGAAAGGCAGGATTTTCAGACAGACATGAGTTTCTGGAAGTACAAGGAAAACGAGCTAGAATGGTAGTTTTCAAAACATCTGAGTGTCCCGGGGGGGCATTCCTGCTTGCTTTCCCCTTGGAGACAGACTGCTCCTCCCCTCCCCCACACCCCCATCATCACTCTGAAGTTCCTAAATCCTTTTAGTCTTTATAAAAAGCCTTTAACCCGGACGGTGACGTGAACCTATAGTTGCAATTACTGTGGAGGCTGAGGCAGGAGGGTCTGAGTCTCAGGAAAGACCACACTATATACCAAAGACAAAGTAAAATGTCCTTCATGCTACTTCAATTGCTCCACACCACCTGTCCACAAGGTCCCAAGTCCCAAGCAGCTTGGCTCACAAAGTTGCAACATAGATTTCCTTTACTTGCCATTTTGGCTCGTTGTGGTTGGGTTTCTTAGTGTAGTCTGAGCAACTTGAAACTCAAAACCTATCTTGTTTGCCCCAACAAATGCCTGCCATATGCATTGTTTGCAACCATTTGAAGTTGCTGGAAATAAAAAGAAACAATCCAGAGCTCCTGAGGGGGTGGGGGAAAGGATTTTGTGTTTTGTTTTTAAGTTATTTCTATTATTTTATGTATCTGAGGTTCCCCCCACCCCCACTGCGTGTATGTGTGAACCATGTACGTGCCTGGTGCTCATGGAGGGCATCAGATCCCCTGGATCTGGAGACAGTTGTGAGCCACCATGTGGGGTGCCAGGGCTCTTAACTGCTGAGCCAGCTTTCCAGACCTTGGATTTTGTGTTTCTGACAAAAATAAATGGTATTGAGTGTCAGGAAGACACGAGCTCTAGTTTGATCTGCCATTTAATTGTCGGGTGACCTTGGATAAGTCACTTTATTTCTCCAAGTCTTGGAGCTTTCTTATATCTAAAATGGAGGCTAAATCCTGGCCTGTCTCACATGGCTGTGGTGGTCAAATAGTTCTGTGCGTACAGCCTCACTGAATCACGGCTGGAATGCGAGAAGAAAAAGAAGCATGGGTCACTGGGTACTCCAGCAAAGGAGAAGCGGTAATTACGCCAAGGGGATGAAAGAGAGTTTTCGGGGTCCTTGGAGTGGGAGATCAGAGCCCGAACTCCTCTTAGGGGGGCACAGGACCCCCACTTCACCCCCACTCTGCCCTACGTCCCCGGGCCCGGCCACCGTTTTCAGGGACGGCCTCCGGGCCTCCTCGAAGCCCTCTCCCCGGCTCATCTCTGGACAACACCCCCGCTTCTTCCGGAAGCGCACTGACTCTGGGTCCCTCCCCGCAGAGACGTGCATCAACAGGCCCTCACTCCTGTCGCTGCTGGGGAAAGGAGTGCGGGCCCAGGGGCGCCCCAGGGCCCCGGAGGAAGCCATTTTCTTCGGCCGGGTCCCGGGTTCGGGGCGAGTCCTTCACCCCCACCACGCGCTTTCGGTGGGCTCAGGCGAAAGGCAAGGCCGCGGATGACCATTTTGCTGTCACCTCCGGTGTGCAGAAGGCTCTCGGCCAGGGTGGCTGTTCTCACCCAAGGGTCCCGAGGGTGCCTGGGGGCCGACGTCACTCAGGACTCGAACCCGCCCTCTCCTCTCCCGAGGCCTAGTCGGAGGCTGATGCACGACAGCCCGTCACACTGTCCCTTTAAGGCGGCACTTCTTAATTCTTCATTTGTTTACTTCTTCATGCGCTTTTCGGTTTTTTTAATAAATATTTGTCCACAATATCCTTCCGCTTATCGCTCTCCCAGGAGCTCGTCACCTGCCTGAGAGACATTATTGTGATTTTAAGAACCCGATGTCAGTAATCGGGACTAATATCTCTCTTTATAGGATGTAATCCTCCTTCACACTTCAGGGACTACTTTTTAGGGACAAACCATTTCTGCACTAGACGAAAACCGTTTGCGAGCATCAGAACCTCTCCGCCGAGAACGGAACACGACAGCGGTCTTTGAATCGCACCTTTTAATAAAAATATTCCGTCCAGGCTCCCAAAGGTCTTGGAATCTCCTCGTGTTCCTGAAGCACAATGGTACGGTCCAGAACCCGCCCCATCTCCTCCGCGATTGGCCCTCCCTCCGCAGAGAGACGAATAACTCTCGCCCAATGACCGCTCACGTTTCTTCAGCGGCCGCGAAGCGATGGGAGGCGGCGGCCCGGGAGACGCCCCCTACGCGGCCCGCGATTGGCTACGTTGCACGGCGCGCGTGGACGGCGGGTCCGAAAGGAGCGGACTACGGCTCCCGGCGGCCCCGCTCGGGGACTCCGTTACGCATGCGCACGGGCGGGGCCAGCGGGCTTCTATATATAAGAGGCGCCGAGGGCTAGGAGACAGCAGTTGGAAGTTGGCAGGTGGAAAGTCAGGTTGGGAGGGGAAGCCGGAGGAGGAGGCGGAAGAAGAGCTGTCTGAAGGGGGAGGGAGGGAGGGAGGAAAAGAGGAGGAGGAGGCGGAGGAGAACTGAGCGGAGCATCGAGCCAGAGGGGAGATGAGTTTGTCTGTCCTCGGCTAAGGCTCTGGCCCGGCCTGGGGAACTGGGAGCTCGGGTTGGAGCGACACCCGTGGAAGTGGGAGGAGGTAGCTCTGGGACTTTAACCCCTTGTGGGCTCTGCGGCAGGGGATTTAACCCTTTGTGGATTCGGCCCCTCGGAGGCAGCGTCATCGGGTAGTTTTAACCCCTTCGGGGCTGGGTTTAACCCATTGGACTTAAACCTCATCTCCTTGCCAACTCCTCCATCGTGGGAGCGCTCGGCGGGGAGGCGTGAAGCCCACCCCTCCGAACATTACGTACTGTGTGCCTGCCGCTGCACCCCCTTGGACCTGCTAGTTGGCCACGCTTGTGAGCGCTTAACCCTTTACTGACTTAACTCCAAGTTGCGATTGGAGTTTGCTGACAAGACGGACGAGAGGCGTCACTGCAGTCATTACCGGCCGAAGAGGACTTTGTTGGACATTTTCTGAAAAGAAAGAGAAACGTCTTTTTCCTTGAGCCAAAATTCCTCAAACTTCCAGAAGAGGACTCTACTAAGCCATGGCCGAGCCACTCTTGTCAGAACATCAACACCAGCCTCAAACTAGCAACTGTACAGGTGCTGCTGTTGTCCATGAGGAGCAGAACTCTGAGCGCCCCCCAGGCGCGGAGGAACGGGTGCCCAAGGAGGACAGTAGGTGGCAATCGAGAGCGTCCCCGCAGTCCGGCGGCCGTCCGGGGAAGGAGGGAGAGGGGGGCCTGAAGCTCCAGCCGCCCCCCCTGCAGACCAATGACTGTTCAGAATCGAGCTGCCTGGAAACGGGCGAGAAGGGCCAGAATGGGGAGGACCTATCTACTGGCGGTGCCTCCCCGTCGGTGGAGGGGGAAGCGATGCCCCTTGTCCTGCCAGGTCATGACTCGGAGGCCACCAAGTTGGGGGCTCCTGCCGCTGGAGGCGAGGAAGCATGGGGACAGCAGCAGAGACAGCTGGGCAAGAAAAAACATCGGAGACGGCCCTCCAAGAAGAAGCGGCATTGGAAGCCGTACTACAAGCTGACCTGGGAAGAGAAGAAAAAGTTCGACGAGAAGCAGAGCCTGCGAGCCTCGCGGGTTCGAGCTGAGATGTTCGCAAAGGGCCAGCCGGTCGCGCCCTATAACACCACGCAGTTCCTCATGGATGACCACGATCAGGAGGAGCCTGACCTCAAAACCGGCCTCTACCCAAAGCGGGCAGCCGCCAAATCCGACGACACCAGCGATGAGGACTTTGTGGAAGAAGCTGGTGAGGAGGACGGGGGCAGCGATGGCATGGGAGGGGACGGCAGCGAGTTTCTTCAGCGGGACTTCTCGGAGACGTACGAACGGTACCACGCCGAGAGCCTGCAGAACATGAGCAAGCAGGAGCTCATCAAAGAGTACCTGGAGCTGGAGAAGTGCCTCTCGCGCAAGGAGGACGAAAATAACCGGCTGCGGCTGGAAAGCAAGCGGCTGGGTGGCGTCGACGCGCGAGTGCGGGAGCTGGAGCTGGAGCTGGACCGGCTGCGCGCCGAGAACCTCCAGCTGCTGACCGAGAACGAACTGCACCGGCAGCAGCAGGAGCGAGCGCCGCTCTCCAAGTTCGGCGACTAGACTGAAAACTTTTGGGGGGAGGGGGCAAAGGGGACTTTTTACAGTGCTGGAATGTAACATTATATACATGTGTATATAAGACAGCGGACCT